CAATTTGTCCTGCAGAGTTACTCTGAGTCAGAATGGATTGGAGGGCGGTGGACTTGGGGCCCATTCCTGTCTGGTGTGGTTGCACTGGGTTTGTTCTACAAAGCAGGGAGACCACTGGTTGTGGAATAAGCACAGACTGAGGGGCAAGATACTTGAGCACGTATTGCAGTGGAACAGCCTCTCTGAGCCTTTCTGTCACCTGCAAAACAAGAATAATGGATTCCTGCCGGGTTGAATCTAGTAGATTCCACCTTCTCTCTGAGTTCCCCACCTGAAGTAGTTATGGTCCATGCTTGGTCTGCATCCCATAGAACTGCGCTCTCTCCTCTCCTCTCCTTCTCCCTCCCTCCCTCTCTGTGTGTGTGAGAGAGAGAGAGAGATGATGCTTCTCTCTGAGTTTCTCTCCTGTGTTAGTTACAGTGGACGTTCCTGTTAACACACAGCATGTTATCCCAGCTGCTACTCGGCTTAGCTTCTCTCTTTCGGGCATGAAGAGCCCACATGACAGATTACCTACTCGCTCGTCTCACAGGAGCAAACTCGTCTTCCTTTGTTCCAGAGCCTTCCCTAGCCTATGGCATCTGAGTGACTCGAATGCCTAAGAAAAATAATACTATCCCTCTTGGACTCACTTCAGGGAGCCTTGGTGGTGCAGTGGATCAAGAAGATGACATTTCCTCCCAGAAGAACCCCCTTTCACCCCTCTCAGGAGGGCAGGCAGGTGCTATTTAAGAAGAGGATCCACTGAGTCAACGGGAGCCCATCACCGAAGACGGCTGAAGTCACTCCCCATGCAGAAGTAGCCTGCTGCTCTGACTCCACAGACTGAGGGCAGAAACACCTCGTCTCCTCTCTTAGGGAAAGTCAAGCCTTTGGACCCTCATCCATCCTTTAGAAGTCCCTGGACAGAAAGAACAAGCTAGAGTACCAGTATACTTAAAATACCAGCAGGGGTGTATTTTACAGCCTGGTGATTGACTAGTGAAAATTAGTCAATGAAGGCCTTTTGTTTTTTTTCTAAAATTATATTTTATTAATTTTCATAAACATTTACAGAGATTTTGGGATTCCATTCATTCATTGTTGCACTATTCTCTCTACCCTCCTCCCAGTTTGTTCTTGTCCAAATGC